AAAAGCTGCCAAAAAGCAGTAATCTATGATTATTTTCACTGTAAAGTGGAAATGCTACAAAAAGTCTTAAGACACAAACTGCTATTCACATGAGTCAAAATCGTTGTTTAGGTCAAATTTGAAAAGAATATTAAACCAAAAAGAATGTACATTTTTCAGTTTTTTACAAAAAATGACTGATGTAACACAAGAGTATTCATGGTTCTGGCAAATTCTGTTTCCACTATATTATTATATTTATTGAAACAAACTTATTTATTATTATTTATTTATTAGAACTGCCTCCGAGATTTGCTGTTTTTTTAAAATCAGTTGTGCTTTCTTGCACACTGACAATAAAGGAATTCTGGTTCTGATTCTGTCATGATCTCAGCCCCTCAGCTCCACCTTGACTGTACTGATTACTCATTACCCTCACCTGTGCTGTGCTGCGCCCTATTTAAACAGCTGCTCATCACCAGCTCAGTGCAAGATCATTTGTTGCCCCAGTCACAGCTTTCAAGCCTTGCCTCATGTTTCAAAGTTTTCTGAGCTTGCCTGTTTTTGACCACAGATTTTGCCTTGTCCCTTGGCTGCTGGAGGATTTCTGACCTACTGTTGATGAACCCTGCCTGACTCTGACCTTGCCTCAAGTTTTTCTGATTTCTGGATCTTCATTGCCTGTGGCCCTCCTGTGAATGAACCTGGATTGTCCCTTGACTCAGCCTCTGGTTGGTGGAATTTGTCCCTGTCATCTGTTTGTCCCCTGAGCCCTATAGTCCTCCCTTTGCCCATCCACCTTACCCCTCCCTGGCTGGATCCCAGACCCTAGTGGACTTCCTGAACCACCAGCATCACCACTCCCTGCTTAGCCCCTTCTTACCTTTATTTTTGTAATAAAGACAAAAATAAAGGTAACACCAACTCTGGTGTTGGCTGCGTTTTGGGTTCTGACTGATTTCGCTTTTCATTACAGATTCTGAAAACACTTGAGACGGGGCAGAGGTATGGCTTCCAGCAGGACAAACACCCTACACATAAGGTGATTTAAAACAAAACATATTCATGTGTTAGAATGGTCCAGGCCTATTCCCAATCCAGAATCTGTGGCAAGATGTGAAAACCGCTGTTCATAAACGCTCGGCATCTAATCTGACTGAGTTTGTTTTGAAAAGAAAAATGAGCAAAAATTTCAGCCGTTAGATGAGCTAAGCTGATAGAGACAAAACCCTAAAGACTAGCAGCTGGAACTACTGCTAAAGGTGGCTCCACAACGTATTGACTCAAGGGGTATGAATACTTTTGCACACCACACCTTTCAGTTTTTCATTTGTAAAAAGTATTTTGAATAACGTATACTACTTCACAGTTGTTTACCACTTTGTGTTGGTCTTTCACATTACATTTCAATTAAATATATTTATGTTTCTGGTTGTAATGTGACAAAATACGGAAAAGGTCAACAGTTATGAATATTTTTGCAAGGTACCGTATGTCCCTGAAATCCAGTAATTATGTAAACACAAACCATGCAAAATTTGACATTGTGATTCAAGTGATGGCTTGATTAAAAAAATAAAAACTAAAACCACTGTCAAGAAATGCTGAGATCATCCCACTTCCCCATGCTGGAGATTTTAGTTTAATAGTAACGATAAATAAAGTTACGTTTAAAATTGATTAGGTGACATCAGGACCCAACAGTAGAGTCAGACGGTAATAAAATTAATCTGGTTGTTATTGTCCTGCAAACTTTGCTTTAATTCTACTTTTTTCTAT